GATTCCAACGCATTCAACGTGTCTGGGTCTATATGGCAGTTCAGCCACGTCTGCCAGAGATGGCGAAACGTCGCTTTATCCCTTCGTTCGTTTTGGTCAACTATGACTCTTCGTTTGCCGGAAGCGGCGCAGCATGAAGGAGATGTGCAGCGCTTGGAGGCAGTTATTCAACGTTCCCATCAGGGACCACTAGACGTTTCCCTCACAACACGCTATAACAGCCAGACACCCATCCCTAATCCCTCTATCCTAAAGCGCATCCTCGACATCGTCCTAGCAGAATCGCACCGGTGGCGAAAGTTATATCTATCAGATTTCCCAAGGAGTTTGAATACGCTCTATGTGCCACTTCATAATCGGCTTTCTCGCCTCGAGTCATTATCCCTTTATGATGTTCCGGAGGAAGAATTAGCAGTGTCTGTCTTCGAACATTGTCCACGTCTTACGAAATTGAGTCTTGGTGGAGGTACGCTGGGCATTGAATTTCCGTGGGATCAAATCACGGAGCTCGACCTTTCTCGTATGGACTTAGATGGTGACGAGGAGGAGCGCAAATCATGTATGCGTTTGATTGGACAGTGTCCATATCTTGAAACCCTCTCTATGCCTGAGTGGGGTTCGAGGGATGATCAATCGGCGTACACGCCGATTACCTGCTCCAACATGCACCAGCTCGATACCATGTCGATGCCCGTCGTCAATACTCTTACGCTTCCTCATCTGCGGGAGGCTTCCCTTCATCTGGACCCTGTCACGCTTCACTACGATGCCCTGTATTCATTTGAACGACTACTCATTCGTTCCAATTGTTTAGGCGCCCTCACCAGACTCTCGCTTAGCAGTCTGCCGCTTGCTGCCTCGCCCGAGCATAGCCTGCATTCTATCCTTTCCCAGACACACAGTCTTGCCTTCCTCGACCTATCAGTAGCCATAGCGGATTATGATGCTGAAACGGATGTTAGCGACCGGGAACAAATAGTAGCGATCGTGAAATCCCTTGCGCCTACCGAATCTGTCACTTTCCTTCCCCTCCTTTCGTCTCTCCGCATTCGGGTGTATAACCACTGTGACTCGCAGAGGCTACTGTATTTTGGACCTGTCGGTAGTTTTGCTTCGACAGTCGAGACCCGGTGGAAAGGAGACCAGACTCGCGGCCTAGCAAGGCTTAAGACATGCCACTTTTCTGTACACGCGCGGCATTTGATGCCAAACCGCATATATCGGGATGGTTGGAGGCCCGTCGCAGGTATCTTCAATGAAGCGGAAAGGTTTATCTTCAAGGCCCTAGTTGACGATGGGATGGACCTCGCTATACGGGTTACATCAAGTTTGACTGAAAGCTTTCCAGGCAATAGCGTGGTTTTTGCAGTTTCCAGGTGACTTGTGCGTTTCGGGAACTTAACAACACCTTGAAGGTAGAGATCTCATGATAGTGGATGACTTTTTCTGAATCCGTATATCAGGAGTATTTTAATGTCTTGAATTTTGGATGTCGTACAACTTGGACATAGACGGGCAACGGGGACCTGTTCCTTCTCCACAGTCACTATCTATGTCTTGAACATACTCCTTTCGATGTATATGCTAGCAAAACTTTAAACACGGAACCGTTACTGTACGGAGGATCCATGAACTGTTGAGAACCCACTTGGTTTGCTGCCGTTCGACCACGTGCCATCACTATTTCTTACTTCCGACCATCATGTTGGCAAACTCTTGTTAACCCGTTCAACACCAAAAATACCTTTGGAATCCTTTCGACTCTGACAAAAATCCAGCTTGGTGTGTAGCTCACTAGCTTTTACGCGTCATTGTCTAATCCTAGCTGTAGACGCGTCGCCTGCTCTTCGTCATTCGTGTCACGCCATGTCAGTGTCGCTGTACACATAATGTGGGACTGTTTCCAAGCCTAGTCTTCAGTATACCAACGAACTCGAAACGTCCTCCCTGCTCTACAACCTTCGCGCATCCAATTTCTCCGCAACAGACCAAGAGTCTTCCCATATCCATCTGAACCCAACATGGACGCGGATATATCCTCCATAATCGCCGAAATCAGGTCCCTCCAGCAGGAACGAGATGCGTCAACGACTGCACGAAAAACCTGCCGAGGTCTAATTTCCCCTTGTCGCGCTGTACCCCCGGCGTGAACTCTTGGGAACAAATCGTTCACGAGGATGGGCAGATTGGTGACGAGGAGTTCACTGTTTCCGACCCGACTTGTTCCCATTTGGGACTTGACCAAAGTGTGCCGGACCTGGCGCGCCGTCGCCGTATCGCTTCACTTGACCTGGACAAAGTTGCATCTCGAATTCCCCAAAGACAACGAGACGGAGCAGGACGTGCAGGCCTCGGAAGTGGCTCTCCAGCGCTCTGGAAAGCATCCTTTGGACATTATACTCAAAAGCGGCTATAATACCCCCGACTTCGAGTCCTCCTTTCGCAACCGGATGCTTGCGATGGTCCATGCAGAAATCGCATCGATGGCGGGATGCGCGTTTGGCGGACTGACATATGAACTCGGATATCCCTGTACGAGCCGCTTCGCGGCCGACTTCCCATGCTCGAATCGTTGAACCTATATCTCTCGGGCGATTTCCCCATCCGCATACCAATGGAGCAGCGATCTGTTCTCACTATTTTCAACGACTGTCCGCAGCTTACGAAAGTGGTCCTGACCGGAACGCAGTGCAAGGCGAAGTTTGTTGACTTTCGACAACAGGATTTACATACTTAGTACCGTTTTACGGGATCTTACCGTGCCCGCCGTGCGATGTACGTCGTGCAATATCGATTCCTTCTAGTCTTATGGGATTGTCACAGAGCAACGCGGCATGCCATTCATGAATCCACAGCCTTGCATCAACTGTGCAAATGGCATTGTCCTTGGCCGTGGAGAATATTACCAACGCCGATTTCAAGACTCTTTTGAGCGCCTTCGCAAAACCAATGAAGTACCCACGGACGCTGAAGTTCCCGGAAAAACATTGCGTCCATCATTGACGCCATCTCGCCTGAGATCTCTCTCGTCGATGCTGCACTCCGTCAGTTCCAAGAGGAGCGCAAAGTCCTACACGACCCAGCTGAAATCTTCCCGTCGCCGTCTCCCTCCAGAGGTCCTTCGCGAAATATTCCGGACGGCATGCCGTGATGTTTACGACCTGGACGATGAGGAATTTGAGAAAGACGACGATGTGCTGAGACGCATGATGATGATGATGCTGAGGGAGACGAGAAAGCGGGGGCCTCAGTTGACAGTCGATCGCGTAGTAAGACAGGCGCGGGTCAGAGATGTCGTATTTAGACTCCGCTTCTTTACTCTTACCATCATCAGTGACGCTTTGGTATGGACGACGATACTAACACTCAGGACGCCTCAGTGGTGGCAGTGGCAGGAGGGCCCGAAACAAAACAACCGAGACTTAACGTCGCTGGCAGAGCTTTGTTGAAAGGTGAGTGCAGTCTCAATTTCCTAGCCCTCACTCACACCGAGTGACACAGATTTCCTTCAAACTGTGTCCAGCGCTCCTACCGTCGCCCAGAAAGAGGAACTACTCGTCAAGATTTTGGCCTTGGGCAATGAACACTACAATATCGGCAAGCTCTCGAACTGGTTCGTGAAGGCTAGATACCGGCGCCATAAGGGTAACCGTACGTGGATATTCTACTTATCACGCTATTTTGACTTCGCCATTGGTTTTAGAATTCAATCTCACTGATCAGGCCGTCGAGACGCTCAAGTTCCTTCTTCACGTGAACCCAGACCCGACCGAAGACACGATGCGCGCATGGGCAGGTATTCTGGACGCTCAAGTCGAATCAGTTCGCTCTTGGGTTGCGCGATCACAGGAAGCACCCGAAAACTCGATAGGCCCTCCTTTCAACTCGTTACCGCCTCCGCCGCCCACCGTCTCTCAGACGCCGGTGCTGCGGGACTCTACTAATGCGCCGGGTACGCTGCTTCTCTGTTGAATCACTTGGAGATCTCAGTTTCTATGCAGAGCCTACTAATTACCTTGAGCTGTGGTTTCGTGAAACACCTTATCCGACAGACGATAATCTCAAGCTATGGGCGTCCAATCTCGGCCTCACATTCGAAGTTGTTCGCAAATGGGTGCATGCACAAAGGACTCTACCAGACTCTCGAGATCTGTTCTTTGATTACAAAGTCGAAAACCGAGGATATACGCAGGACCACTTGAACTCGCATACGCAAACGGACGTGTTAGCAATGAACGCACCTTTCCCTCTTCCGCCCGCTCTCGTACTTCCAAAGGCTCCTCCCGTATGGCGAATCGTAGTACGTTGTTTGTTTCTAATCCGGTCTTTTTCGACTCAAGAGGCGTCTGAAGAAACCGCCAGTGAAACCCGTTGATCAAAACACACGTCTTCTGTTCGACATTGCGGAGAAAATGGATCTTGACGACCCGCCTACGACCCACGCTCTTTCTACTAGTCTATCCGAACCTGGACCTTGCGGTCAGCCGCCGTCGGAACTACAGCCCCAGGAATCAAGCTCTAAAAGTATGACCCGTGAACAATTTCAGAGTAGCTTTGGACCTATAGAGATCAAGATGAGGCGCTTTATGGACCAAGTGGGGCAGGGCGCGTTGGAGACAGAAGGCTGGGATAAAGGTACATTCCTTATCGATGTTTCTTCGTGGTACCGGTGTTAACGCGTTCGCTTGTAGCGTTCGTTCCCGAACGATTTCAAGTTATCGCTTCCGCTTTGTGACCTTTAGACTTGTCCCTTTCGCATTGCTATCTGCCGCTGTTGTGTTATTGTCTTCGCTTTCTCTAGTCACTGCCGCCGCTTGTACTTCAGCTGTTGTATAATCATGATGCATGATAATCCAAACTTCAACAGAGTGGTCCCAATTCTCATCTCCGAAGAGATTAATTACTGGGTGCCAAAAACACGGAATCTTCTGCCACTTCTTCTAATCAATTCGCTGTTGGCGAACCGCCCGGCAGCAATAATGTGGCGCAACCACTTTCATGGCCGACTAGCTCAGTTGGTTAGAGCGTCGTGCTAATATCAGTTCTACTGCAACTGGTTTGACGCGAAGGTCTTGGGTTCGACCCCCACGTTGGCCATGGAGGCATGGTAGTTTTATTTTTAATCTTTGTGGCGCAGTACTCAGTAATAAACCAGGCTTCAAGAATCAACACAATAGTTTCTGTGCCCGAATCTCAGGCCTCAGGCCTCAGGGACTGTGGTCCACAACAGGCATACTACAGAGTGTGTCTTGCCATTTGTTGAATGGAACGTAGATGATGTCTCCTAGCTCAACTTAGCAGTGGGCGCGCCGCCAAGCAGTCAAATACGAATGGGTACACCAGTAGGTACCGCTGTTCCGTCGATGATGGTCGGGGAAGTGTTCACCCGCACAAGAGGGATTGGAACGAAGTCCTACTTTGATGACTCCAGTTCACAAGCCTTGAGCATTCTTCTCCCTTAGAAGAAACGATTGAATTCACAAGTAACGGTAACTTCTTGAGCACCTCATATGAGAACAGTGTATCCTTCAAGTTCCCACTGGCCAAGCAGCTTTGAGTTTCTTCTTGACCGGTTCATTGGAGAGGAGGTGGAAGAACCCTAGCGTCATAGCCGTGTCCGCACCTGCAATGAGAAGGAGCATGGCCTGTGCAAGTCTCGTAAACCAATAATCTGACAGTGAAGATATCAAACGAACCTCGCCTTCTTCGATGGAACTTGTCCCAGCTTGATCGACTCAGGCGTAACGAAACGACTCGTGCTCCGCCTCCCGTAATATTTCTGGATCTTTCAAAATTCCATTGACCTGCGCCTCGAGAAACGCTTTCATGTAAGCGAGACCTCCGAGGTCAGGATTGATCATAACGCCCAGCCAATCCGGGATTTGATGTACTTTGTACGCGGAGGACTCTGGGAAGTACAGAGCTGCCGTCATCACGGCTAATGTATGTCGGAAACGTAGCGAGCAGTTGGAGATGAACTCACCTTTTTCTGGAGAACATTATCCAGCTTCAAGATTGAGGATTCCCCGCCGCCGCTTCTTCGACGTCAATGATTCCGAAAGTCGAGTCGTCTTACCCGAAGTGGGCGTAAAGGGCCAGGTCCTTGGTGAAGCCCGAATGGGGAGGGTAGATGGCGAAATACGCTTCGGGGTAGAAAAGTGTAGCTAAAATCGAGGCCTGTACTGGTTGGGAGACGTGGTCCGGGAAAAGCCTTCAGCGGGTGAAGGCACAATCTGTAGAAGAGGACATAAAGAAGGCCAAAAAAGACAACGAGGCCGACAATCTGGAGATAGGATAACTGCTTAAACGAGTCGCTAAACATGACGGTATATTGAGGGCCATGTCGTAGCGCGAGGACATGGGAAAGAAAGAAGGAATTAGGATGCGTCCGAGGGTGCATCACAGTTCGTCCAGGTCAGTTGCCCAAGTGAAGTCGACATTGACAGCTGTGATTGAAGCACGTTGCGCCGGGAAACGCGGATGGATGTCAAGGCAAGAGCGCGTTTATCTTTCAAAGTTTTCCCATCGACTCCGTCGATCATGCGGTATGCACACCCAATTAAAGTGTCTGGATTCTAATACGTTCAAAACTCTATGCACTCGTTAGTCCTGACGCACATGTTGAACGCAGACTGACCTAGTACTACGTCCTGGCAGTGACCCATCACGTTCATCATCTTCCTTGCGCTGCTCGTTTCAGATAAATAATGGATAATACTCACAGCCTCCTTGTTGTGATTACGATAGCATCTCTACACTGGAGCAATGTACATCACTAGAACAACAAAAACTAGGTGTAATAAATTAAGCTAGGATCATAGAAAGGAACATCAGTGGCATTAATAAGCCAGAACTTAGTCCGATGTGTGGCGCAGAGTTGCCCGAGGTAGTCGCGCTGGCAGCCGCACTGGTCCCAGTGGAAGTAGACGATCTAGAAAGAACGCGAATGAGCACTGAGGATAGTGACATTTAAACTTTACACACCTAGTAGTCGTGGTAGAAGTAGAAGTAGAACCAGCACCAGAACCAGAACCTGCACCTGCACCTGCACCTGAGCCCGAATTCGACGAGGAAGAGTTGCCACCATTATCATTACTTCCATTGTCTCCATTGTCGGTGGATAGCAGGATGCTATCCGGAGTCACAGTAGTGCCGTCGCCAGTGCCGGCGGAGTTCTGGTACGCGCTGTCGGCGCTGAGAAGCGCCACCGACTTGGTCTCCCAGCCGTTCGACTTCATGACGGGGAACGCATCCATGAAAGCCTGCACGGTGTCATCGGTGAGTTCGTGCTCGAGGATAATAAGACCGGGGCTCTTGGGTCCTGCGTATCGCTGTGAGGAGGTGTTGATCGGAGAATCATGTGGCTTACCAGTGATCCACTGGGTCATGGACGCGTTGATGGCCTGCATGGTCGTACCGTTGGTCGCCATGCTCCAATCTTCGGTACTGACAAACGGTTAGATAGGCCCGCGTGTAAACTGTTAGGGGTGAAACACTTACTCTTGGTTCCAGATAATGACTTTCATTCCGAAGATCTGTTTGTTCAGTCTAATTGAATTTCTGTCTGTCGAATTTAACAGATGGCAGCTCACCTCCTCTGCGATCGCCCTCACTCTGTTATCAGAGTCGCCGTAAGGAGGACGCCAGAACTTGGGCACTCGGCCACCGGTCGAGTTGTGGATGATCTCCATCGTCCAACCAAGCTGCAACAAGTTAGAGAGGATCTCCACGAGGACATCAGGGCGACATGTACCTGCGCAACGACCTGTTCGTTAGTCTGAGTCGTCATGTACGGATGCGTGTATGTGTGCACAGCGATATCTCCGCCTTGCTCGAGAATGGCCAAAAATTGGTCCGGCTCATTGCGAATGTTGATACCGATGAGGAAATGCGTAGCCGTCTCATCTTGCTCAGTCAGGAATTGGATGAGTTTCGTGGTACCCTGTGTGACGATCAAATTTCAGTGAATAGATTGGCGTGTGGAGAGGGGATAACGTACGGCCGCAGGTCCATCGTCGAAGCCGATACCGACGTGGCCATCGGGCGCATCCCAAACATCGTCGGGATTTCTGCACTTGTACGTTGCAGAGCAAACCGCTGCGCTCATGGGGTCAAGACCGTTCGGGTAAGTCGGGGAACCGCCAGTACTGGTTGAAGGTGGGATGTCGGGAATTTTTCCAGCTTTTACGGCGGCGTCGAGCGCGTCCTTCCACGCCTGGGGCATCTGAGCCGGATCGGGGGTGGTCGTCGGATACGCCGCGGACCACGCTGGACGTGTCCACATTAGTCAAGAGAGATAAGAAGTAGTACGCGATAACGAACTGCTGGAGCCCACTTCAGGATATTCGGTGCCATCGTTAGAGATGCGCTTGAAGAGGCCGTGGACGGGGTGGTCTCTTTCTTGATACCAGGTGCCAGTGCGACGGCCAGGGAGATGGATGGGGGAGTGCGATAAGGCAGAGGAGGCGAAAGCTAATAGAAGGGGTAAAGAACGTAGCATAGTCAAAGGAGCGACGGTGGACGAGAGCAAAAAGAAAGGAAAAGATGTCCGAAGGGTTTGGGCAGGGAATAGAGTCTATAAGTAGGCCTGCCAGGGTATGATTGATTTTTCCGGGGCCGGGGACTTGAAACCGTGTCTGATGTGGTACGAGCGCGCTTCATGGGCGCGTCTAAACCGTCGGCATTTATATGGCGGATTGGCAATCCTCCATATCGACCACAGAACTGTTATACGGTGGGTTTAAGGCCTGCACATTGTCGATCGCGACGATCTCCTAAATCCGCTAGACTTTTTGTCAATACGAAATACCTTGTACGCTGACAGGAGTCTCGAGAAGGAATATTAGCACATAATTCTCCTTGAAGTTGTCGGTATTCTTTGCCCATATGCGCCGGCAGTGTGAACCAGATGCGAAACCTTTTCCCCTTCGATGGAGACAGATGGAGACGCGAGTTCGTTTCAAAGAACCGAAGCCGCAAAGATCGCCCGAGCGGATGTATTGTTGGGTGTAACCGAGCAAGTAGCGCGGCCTGATAGAGCCGATGGTGATGCCTCCCGCATCTGCTCTTTTCGACTGGGTACAGTCGGGAAAGGTGTTACTTATACATGAGAGTGGCCCAGAGAAGTACTCGGGGCGAGGAAATGTCCATAAATCATTTGAATCAGAATAGTGGGAGGACAAGTGACGGGCCGGAGCGGACATGAGCAAGGAGCGGACATTGAGCGGACATGAGCAAAGCTGGATATTGTTTTGAGGGTTCCGCTCCACGAGCCACGCGAAACGCACGTGGCTTGCCATGCTCTTATCTGAGGCCCGGCTTGGGCCGGCGGCAGTCAACTGCTGCTCACTGACAACTGATATCAAACTGATACATATGCTTAATAAAGTGCTCAAATGCTGCCTTGGACCCTTGCTTTGTTGACGCTCTGGCTCGCGCAATCGAAGACATAATTTTAATCTTACTATGACTCAAAAACCTGCACGGAGAGCAACATCTCTCATTCTGAACCTCGCCAACGATGCTCGACGACACAGACTTTCAAAAATCTTCGAGCTCCGATTCCGCGGATACCTCGCTCGCGATGCCTGCTCTCGAGATGCATCCTACAGCTGTCCCGCTCGAACACGATCTTCGCTCATCTCAGCAGCCTATTGTTCCATCTCATGCTTCTTCGTTGCCTCCAATGGTCCATTTCCCGCTTTGAAACCTGTCATCAATTCATCTCGTCTTCGTGTAGGACCGCGGATTCGATGCCTGGGCTTATCTCGCCTGCGCGTGGCTCATCGAATTCCTCGTCTGGTAAATCGCCCCACATCCACTCCCGACTCCGAGTCTCTAACCCAATCATCGACAGGTCCTACCCCTTCTCCTTTGGTGTCTTCCTCAACCACTACACGACACACGAGTTCTCGCATGTCCCGCCGTCCACCCTTACCCTCGTCGGATCAACATGCACAGGCCTCATGTACTTTTCCTCCCTTATCATGGTGCCGGTAATGAATAGATACCCGTGGCATAAGAAGACGATCATGTACGTCGGCGTGGTTCTCTGCATCGCAGGTCTAGTGGGAGCTGCGTTCGCCAAGAAGGCATGG